CTTACCTGAAGTGTAAAATTGACAGATTGGACATCCATCAGAGTGAACTCCCCCTCTCCATTCATGGTATATGTTAAATTGTCAAATGTATTTATATGGGGATCTCCAAGTAGATAAACTGGAATCAGTAAAATGTTCTCGTAACAAGACAAAGCAAACTACATATAAAATATGTGTAATTTATTTGACAGGGTAACACAGCTTGATGAGTGTGAATTTTTAAAAATTTCAATATGGGGTATTATTTTACAGGGTGTGCTATTAATGAATATTACATATAGTAAAATTGTGGATGGAAATTCTGCAAATTTGACATACCACAAAAATATTATTTTATTTTACAGCATTTTTACAAACTTACACTGTTTCTAGAATTGGATTATCCACTAGTGCTTAATAATATGTACATATTTTGTACAATTTGTACAAGTTGATGCTTTGTTTAAAAAATTTTGAAGAAGGCTACTATCTTATTAAATCTTTTTATATTTATATGGAATTTGCACAATTAAATTTTTCCTAAATAATTCAATGAGTCCATGACTCCACCATCCAAAAGAGGAATCTATATAGGGCTGAACTTTTTACAATCTAAGATAGTTATTCTTATGGGTATCTACTATCTACTACCAAAGAGAGGTGTTTTAAAAGTCACTAAACATTGATGTCATTGGAGCTATCTTGAAAGGACTATTCTCTGTAACCAAAGAATGGTGTCTTTTTAGGTGTATCCTCTCTAGTACTCAAGAAAATATTTCAGTGTTTGATTTCATCCAGAAGGAAATTAAGCCCTCTTTTGAACACAATATATTAACTACATCGCCAAATAAGATAAGGAAACAACTGTGTTTAGGACCTCTGGTGTTGCTTGCTTTGGACATCATTAATTGCCATCAATCATGTCAAAGAAATGAGGAAAAACTGTGTTCATTACCTGGCACAAATGTCACATTATATGAGCACTGAAAGTCTGGGTAGATCAGGTTAAATCTATGACACATATTAGAGCTCTGGGAATCTTTACAACACCACTGGTGGGCATCTATATTTTCCTGGACGCCTCTGAACCATTCACGGTCTCCAACCAGTATATGTCCAGCATCAGATGTCTTGTGTATGAAAGATGACACAGCTATGGCTTGAGCCCAGACTCTCCAGTCACTGTCTAGTGCAGGCTGACTCCATTGGTAACAACACAGCTGAGGGAGAACATTGAGTAAAGCTTTGAGTTTGGAAAACAATTCTTTTCCCAGTACATTTATTTTACTTGCAGATGCTAATTAAAACAAAAAACTAGTCTCGATTCAATCTCACCAAATTTATTTTTTATCAAATATTTTAAGTTCATTTGAACTTTATTACAAGTATTTAAAACATTAAAATAAATGATGAGATATCTACAAACTACCTTAAGACAATGAATGAAGAAATATGTGTCTTTATATTTGTTGTTCATTTTTTAATATTTACTGCACATTCTATGATATAGATGGCTGGTTTCAGGGATGGGTGAATTTTTGAATGGATGGATAAACAGACTGACAGATGGAAAAAAGATGGACGGACGAAAGCCAGAAGGTCTAAAGACAGACAAAAGACACTCAGATATATATATATATATATATATATATATATATATATATATATATATGGAGAGAGAGAGATAGCTAGATAAAGATAGATAGATAGAAAGAAAGAAGAGGCATATTTTATGCATTTGCTAGATTAACTACAAAACATCCTTATTTTCTATATATTACAACTGCATTATTAAATTACTTTTTTTTTTTTTAAAATTTTTACAATAATATTTTTTTTTAAAACTTGACAAGTTAGGAAGTAGCCTTTTCTCTGAAGGCAACACATGCAACTTATAGAGAGGATGTTATAGATGAACAGATTAGACATACACATTTATATAGATCAATGGAACATTGATTGCTGATATCTCAAAGAGATGAGTATTACAGACAGTAGAAAATCATTTTCGTAATTGTTTCAGTCATCAGTATAACTAATCAGCCATAAGAGGCCATCCATAAAGGATTTCACCTAATTTTGGACCCTCCCCTTCCCCACCATCACATCAACATAAACCCTAATAGTAAATCATCACAAATTAATGACCCCCACCTCCCTTGTTTACATGTGTGACATCATTTATGGAGGGCCCCTAAATACCTTATTCCTCGGATTGGACTGCAGTAGCCTCCTCTTGGCCACAGGACTAATAGCAAAGCAGTAAATGTCTTGTCCACGTTTTTCAAAGAGACTCCACTGCAGTCCTAGCTGACCTAATGCACAGGGGCAGTTATACAGTTGTTGGATCTCTTTCCTGTATGGAAAGTTGTTAATGAGACGGGAATTCTTGCACACATGATTTTGGCATTTTTGAGTTGGACTTGTACGTCGAGAAACTTCAAGCATGAGCGACTCCAAGTAGTTTGCTGAGTGAAGAAGTTTTAATATAATAAAATAAATAAATAGAAGGCTTGATATATATCTAGCAAGGGTGGGAAACCAAGTTTATAACATTTACCACGTAACAAGCAAATAAGGTAGACCAGTATCTTCTGACATCAAATATCAGGCATGAGACATTTACTCTTGGGCAATCATTTTATTAATGACACAATTATTTTTCGTTAAAAGAAATTATATTTTAAAACTACTTGGCAAATTGAAGTAAAAATGTTTTTGTTAAATACCTTCCTTCAAATTAAATGAGTTTTCTGTGATTGTGATTGTTGTAGCCGATGTATATGGACTGGCCACAAACCCTACTTCCATTTTCCTGCCATTTTTGTTAAGCCATTGCATTTGACCTTTCTGGTAGATGAAATAAATATAGGCTGTCTCTTCATCTGCAAAAAAAAAAAATGTTTTAAGAAGTCAATCTTTCACTCAATTAAGTTTTAGTGGAATCTTCTATTTCTTTTAAATACCATCAACAAGTGAAAGTAAATAATTTCTTCTTATTCCCCCATATGCTGTCTGGTCAATACAGCCTACACATTATATTTTAAGCACTATGACATCAAATAAATTTCACAGATGATTTTTATTTTACAATTTTGATTTACAAAGAGAAATATTTTGAAAATTATTCAAATTTTTACTACAAAACTAGTTATTTTACACGTTATTGTGATATAATAACTTTTTTTTTTCCTCATAAAATGTACGGCCACTTGTCACATTGTTAGAGTAAAACTTATTGACCCTTTTTACTTAACGTTAAAAACAAAAAATTACTTTTTACTTTAATTCTAAATTAGATTGCTGACTGTTGTTCAAGCTGCAATATAGCTTGTTCTTAAGATTTCTTTCACATAACATGAAGGCATTCATAATTGATCACAGCTAAAACTGACAGACTGAAGCTAAAATTAAAAATTCACCAGAAAAGTTTTCATCGGTGCTCCTGTCCTTACGATATCCACTAATGTAGATGGCTTGGAAAGTGTTCACAAGGTTATAAGTCTGTTAAATGTATTTCACATGAAAGTTATACTGAGTCTGTTGGTGTTCATTTCAGTATGATAGGTTATTTGGCTGAAAAACTTCAATTTCTCTTAAAGGTAACTCTTTTTGCTTTCATCGCGTAAAAGTACAAACACAACTTTTAATGTCCATACTTTTCAAGCATCGAGGCTTTATAGCTAGTTTTTAGATAAATCATTCATCATCAAGAATAGTCACTAACATAAATATTGCTACTAGTATAGACAACAGCTTAACATTGCTACTAGTATTAAATAATTCATGTTTTGAGATATTTTGGAAAAGTTTGTGTTAAATTTATCAAAACAGTTTACCAGCAATGGCTGAAATAAAAAAAAGAGAGGCACACAAACAAAAGAAGGTATAAAGACAGAAAAAAGACACACATATATATATATATATATATATATATATATATATATATATATGGAGAGAGAGAGATAGCTAGATAAAGATAGATAGATAGAAAGAAAGAAGTGGCATATTTTATGCATTTGCTAGATTAACTACAAAGCATCCTTATTTTCTATATATTACAACTGCATTATTAAATTACTTTTTTTTTTTTTAAAATTTTTACAATAATATTTTTTTTTAAAACTTGACAAGTTAGGAAGTAGCCTTTTCTCTGAAGGCAACACATGCAACTTATAGAGAGGATGTTATAGATGAACAGATTAGACATACACATTTATATAGATCAATGGAACATTGATTGCTGATATCTCAAAGAGATGAGTATTACAGACAGTAGAAAATCATTTTCGTAATTGTTTCAGTCATCAGTATAACTAATCAGCCATAAGAGGCCATCCATAAAGGATTTCACCTAATTTTGGACCCTCCCCTTCCCCACCATCACATCAACATAAACCCTAATAGTAAATCATCACAAATTAATGACCCCCACCTCCCTTGTTTACATGTGTGACATCATTTATGGAGGGCCCCTAAATACCTTATTCCTCGGATTGGACTGCAGTAGCCTCCTCTTGGCCACAGGACTAATAGCAAAGCAGTAAATGTCTTGTCCACGTTTTTCAAAGAGACTCCACTGCAGTCCTAGCTGACCTAATGCACAGGGGCAGTTATACAGTTGTTGGATCTCTTTCCTGTATGGAAAGTTGTTAATGAGACGGGAATTCTTGCACACATGATTTTGGCATTTTTGAGTTGGACTTGTACGTCGAGAAACTTCAAGCATGAGCGACTCCAAGTAGT